CGGGGCGCCGCGGCCGGGGACCTGTTGAAGACGTTCGCCGGCTGGCTGGGTCCCCACGGCCTGTCCTCAGCCTCCTGAGTCTGTCCCCCCTTTCCCCGTCGCCCACTCTCAACGTCTCCTCGCGGTCATTTTCCTAATTGGACAGAGCTGAGGGGTGTGATCGTCGGCGTCAGATGAGGGGCCCAGAGGCTGCCAGGTGGGCGCGGGGACCCAGGGACCGTCGGGGCGGCCCTGCCTCCCAACCCCGCGCGTGCGGATCCCACAGATCTGCCCTCTGCCACCGCCCCCCTAACCGCGGACTTGCTAAGTAGTGCCTATTGGGTTTTATTCCAACTTGCCTCTTAAGATGACTTTTATGATCGCTGCCACTGCTTGCCTCCAGTCTAAGCTCAAGTTTGGGAAGATTTAAGAGGCCAGGGAGGTGCTTGCGTGGATTTTAACTAACCCCAAACGGTCATTAATGTCTCTCTAAGATCCGCGATGGTTCCGGCAAAGCGCAGCCGTAGCCTGGGTGCGTTGTCTCCCGGACACTGCGAGGGGCTGGTTCCTCCCCGTCGGAGCGGTCTAGCGACTGACCATTCTCCTGGCCCTCCCTGGAGTTGCGGCCCTAGCGCCTGAACTGCTCAGGGCGCCCGGGGCGCCTTTATTTCTTTGCAAAATGGAAACTCCCAAGCGGCAACGACCTGGAGGGGACATAACCAGTTCCAGTGGGCTCCTGGGAAATTTACAAAATTTCCCCACAGGTGTTTGGTGGACTTTGCACCCTCGGGAGTCACCCAGCCAACTTTGAAGCTGCTCTTTCAGCCCTGCCTTTGTGCACGTGTAAGTAGAAACTGTCAGAGTTCATTCAGTTCTGCCTAGTAGACGGCTTGGGGCCTGCATCCCTGTGGCGCCCTCCCCAAGGACCTGCTGGGCCAGGTGGGGTGGGGAAGAAAACCACCCCTAATTGTCATTAGACGTTAGAAAATGTACTCTTAGTGTTGGTGATCAAAGCCTCGGGCCTGTCTGGTTTTGATTTTGGAGATTCGGTATGGCTGTCCCTTTCTCATTTGTTTTAAAGTGAATGTTATTTTCTAGAGCTTTTCTGGTGTTTTGTCAGCTGGTCCTTGGGCCACGTGTCACCCTGTGCCAGGCATCTGTCAGTCTTGAAACAGGACCTCTTAATTGGTCACCTATAGTTCCAACCACTGTAGTGCTCCAATGACCTGCAGGACCCGGCTTGCTGTACATGCGGTGGAAATGCTTTCTTTTGGGTAGGGGGAGTTGGACATTTGGGTCACATTTTCTTTCCTCTAGGCTCACCTGGTTGCCTCTGCGGCCTTGGAGGGAGATGCAGTGAGTTGAAGTAGGGGCAGAGGCTCGCTCTTCTCCTCAGAGCAGATTCCTGGGTGAGTCCCTGTCCTGTGATGTATGGCCAGCGAGTCATTGGTCCTCGACTTGGGTCACTTCCATTCCAACCAGTGGGACTTATTTTTAGGCTCGATGTCTAGAGACAAAGAGACAGGCAGGGTCTGGAATGGTTTTCGAGTTGGAGAAAGGGTCACTAAATGGGACCACCAGAGATTTCGTACTTCTATTTTAGATTTACTTTGTGGCCCAGAGATTTTTCTACCGGAGTTGTGCCTGTAGAAGGGCAGAAATAAGTAAAGGAGGACTCGGGTGCCTCTCAGGAGCCCCTCCACAGGCTCCTCATCTGGCTTGCTCACCCCCCGCCCCCAATCCCAGGGCAGGGGCACGTTTGTTGAATAAGGGATCTGCGAATCTGCTCAATCTCATGTTACTGGTAGTTGCTCCCAGCCCTTGGACTTGAAAGCCAGAAGAGGATCTTAGAAGTTGTCTAAGAGAAACGGAGGCATGAGGCCAGCTCCATGCCTGGGGTCCCACAGTCTGTGGCAGAGCCAGCACTGGAACCTGCGCTTTCAGAGTCCGTTCCCAGTGCTCTTTCCACAAGGCCGCTGCTTCTTTTCCTTCTCAGGAGCCCGAATTAAGCTCCGGCCAAAGGACGTGGCTGTGAGAACATGAACCCACAGCCTTATGCTATGTCCGGCCCCTCTATGCTATGTGCAGGAGGTGGGTCAATGGAGTGCCTTATTTTCCAGGCGTGTTGCACATACTGTTCTGAAGGATTTGACGTGCAGGTGTGACTGCTAGGGGGAACCAGGTGCTTCTGGGTGTCCACTGGTTCAGCGGAGCAGTACCTTCGTCATCAGGATGTTCCCAAGTCACACTTAGCACTTTTTGATCTGGAATGCTTTCTTCATGCTTTGTACTTGTGATTTATTTAGGATTAGTCTGGGGAGAAAATGAGATGTAAGGGCCAGAGACCGAAACTTATCTCTCTTTGTGGATTAGATCTCCTTGTGGAATCTCAATTCGTGAGGGTAGAGGTCTTTCTTTGTTCATTGTTAAGCCCCTGTGCCTAGAACAGTTACTGGCACATAGAGAGCCCTTGAGAAATACTAGCTGGGATAAATGTTCCCAGAAGGAGCTCACGAATGATAATAGGGGGCAGGGACAGGAAGGTGATTGATGGAAGCTGCAGAGTTTTGCAGTGAGTCATTGCTTCAGTATCCTGACAGGTAAGGCAGGAGGGGCTCGCAAGAGTAAACCCTGAGTGGATTGAGCCACTGGGTGGAGACTTGTGCAAAACAATAGAGAGATCTCAAAATTGGATTGGTTTTGGGAAGAATAATAATAATAATCATGTACCTTGGGTCAGGCTTGGCTAAGTGCTCTATGAATGTCATCTCCCTTCGCCCTTGGCGTGTGCTACCTACTACTTACTGTTATTTCCATTTGGCAGATTGGGAAATGGGAGCACAGAGGAGTTAAGTAACTTGTCCAAGGGCACAGAGCCGATACCTGAATCCAGACAGACTGACATCAGACTTTGCCTCCCTAGACTGTCGATGAGATCAAGACGGCTCTGCCCACACCGAGGAGTGAGGAGCACTCAGAGCTTTGGGGTTCCTTGAAAGGACGGCAGCAGAAAAACTTGAAAGTGTCAGTCTTCAGGGGACTGAGGCTGGTCAGGGAGCGTGCTCTCTGCGTCCTTTGCCAAGGCCCACACAGTACCCGAAGATGTCTCAGCCAGTGGAGACCATAAGGCCGACTGACTGTTCCCCAAGCAGAGTGGCCAGTACCAGATCGGGGCTATTTTGCACTTGATAAAGATTTGGGAGACTGCTTCCTCCCCCTTCCCCCGAAAAGTATACTTTTTAACTTAAATTATGGTTGGCATATATTTGAAACTGGTGGGAATTTAAAAACTAGATGGTGTTCTTGAGGCCTCCAGAAGGTGTTTTCCTGGTGTGTAAACCTTACCTTCCTACACCAGGATGCTGGTCCAGGCCAACCTTTTTATTGGAAGTGTGTCATTTACCAGTTGCTGAGCTGGTCCCGTCTTCGTGGAGCTTACAGTCTCCCTGGGAGACGGACATTAAACTAATAATTACACAAATAGTCTTTAATTACAGTTGTTATAAATGCTTCAAAAGAAAAAGTACAGAGGTTATGGGAACTGATAATGACGGAGGAAGGGGAAGGGAGGTGTTCTTGAAGAAAAGGCATTTAAACAGCCACGTGAAGGGTGGGTGGGTAAAGAGTCTTTAACCGGGGAGGTTAAAGGCCTTGTAGGCCCTTGGTACTCCTTGAGGTCTGTGGTCCTTCGACATCACCATCCCCTGGGAGCTGGTTGGAAATGCTGAATCTCGGGCCCCTCAGCAGAACTGCTGAGTCTGCTTTTGAACAAGATTCTGGCGCAGCAGGGTAAAGTCTGAGAAATGCTGATGGAATGAAAGTGTTGAACTGGGAGGTTCTCCCCGCTCTGCTGTGAATGAGTTGGGCGACCTAGGGCAAGTCCCTTCTCCTCGGGGTCACGAGAGAATTCACAAGTTCCTTCTGACTTCTCTGATCTTTGGCTTTTGCTGGTTTGTGCAGCCTCCATGTGTGTTGAGGACCTGCGCTTACCCAGCATCCACCTCTGAGGTGCCTTTGGCGAGCAAGCAGCTCTATAGTGTCCGCTCTGGTCGGACTTTAGGAAGCGCTGAAGAGAGGGGCCGGACCATCAGCTTTGGGGAAGGATCAGAATAATTCTCAAAAAAGCATATGGAGTTTTGTTGCTTAGGGAGAGATTATCTCAAGGTAACCTGGGAGGGTTTGGCCTGAAGCAGAGAGAAAAACTGGGGAGGGTCAAAAGGGCCTCGGGGGAAGAAAGGTTTAAGACTTCTGCTGAAAGCTGAACCCAAACGAGGCGGGAGGAACCTTTTCAGCAGTTCATGCCTGTGAACATGATACTTTAAGAACTGCCATGGAGTTTGATCCTTGAGATCCTCACGCGGCTGTGAAGAAGACCTGAGGGCCGAAACCAGGGGTCCTTGAGCCTTACAAGCTGTGGGTGGGCTTCAGTTGCATCTGCAGCTGTGCAGAGGGTTACGTGTCTGTGCACTTTTCTGGAGAGAAGCCCCATAACTTCCACGAGCCTCAAAGGGGTCGGCCGCCTCCCCCGACTAGGGACCAGTGCCTTTCTTGAGTAACCGCTCCCAGCTCTTGTACGATTCAAAGCACTTTCCATATATTAGCTCATTCATCTTGAGTGACTTTCCAGAAGTTACACACTTAGTAAGTGTCAGAACCAGGCTGGCACCCAGGCAGGCAGGCCCCAGAGTCCCTGGTCCCGGAGCCTTCCTTAGTAACAGGTGGGACTGGGGAGGAGCATTTTAGGGTAGAACAGAAATTGAGATTACAGAGGCCCCCACTTTTCCAGTAAGCATCTTCCAGTTGTTCAGGCATAAAATAGAAAGGGTTTTCCCGAGGATATGTATTCAGTAGCGTCAATTGCCAGGCTAGCCCAAGAGGGCCTGTGTCACTATTGGGCCCAACTCACATTTGTTTGCAAGGGGAAAAAAAAAAAAAATGAGAAAACAGGACTGCTGCAGTACTGCAAGCTAAATTAAAAATTCTAAGATTGGGTGGAAGGTTCTGGAAGAATTGCAGTGTCATAAAGCGGGGCTGAAGTGGTAGCAGGAAATTGGGATGGATTCTGAAAGAGGGGATTAAAGGAGGTTAGGGGCCAAAGCAGGACCAAATGTTTGTCAAATCAGCAGCTTCAAAAGGTAAAATAACTGGTTTTTATTACCTACTAATTAATGGATGTAGCTCACAGACCTGACCCTTCCCCCATTACTCGTGCCTTACCCCAAGTACAGAGGCCCTTTTGTCTTCTCTTTTATTCATTTCTGTGCCATTTGAATTTTTATCAGGATGTATTATCTTGAAAATCTATATATTTATAAATGGAGTGAAAGGGCTATTAGAAGTGGGTTGGCCTCTAGGGGTGAGTTTGGTTCTGTTGTCTGCTACCATCATCATAAAGGAGTTTCTGATATTAAATTTATACGCCCTATTGTATGTATATTTTGGGAGTACTGAGAGAACCATTGGAAACGTGAAGATTTTTAGTGCAGTCAGAAGCTAAGAATAAGGGATCACATTGTGGCCCGCCTGCCTTCCCTTTCTTCCATCCCCCACCTCCACCCCCTCCAGTGTGCAATAAATAGGGAATCAAAATCAGGTAAGAATGATCCCCATGGAGCAGGACTGCCCATCTTTCAGATTTACACGGCAAACCATGACTCTTAGTTATGCGTGGTTTGTTTTCTGGGTAGTGTCCGAAAGCCATCGCTCACCCCATCCTATTCCCCATGGGGCAGCAATGGAAAGGGCTTCCGGATGGGGAAGGCTGTCATGCATGTGTTTGGTGAAAAACAATAGCCAAACTTTAGTGGTGGTTTTATGCGCCCCATGAAGACTGGGTCTGAGCCAGCCTGTCAGTAAGCATCAGGTAGCCTTTGGAGGCTGGCGGTGCTGATTTGTTAACCCCTCTGACGTCCCTCCGATCCTGGGAGCCCTGGGCCTGCAGCCTCGCCTCCCATCCATTCACTAGCTACAGACTGCGAGACTGCTGTGGACTTGCTATTACCTAGAAGCAGGTCACCTCTGAAATTCCGAACTCTTCCTGTTCCCACACTGCACAGCCCTCCTGGAAGCAGCCCTGCCCACCCCTGCCCCAGGCTGAGAAGCCTGTGCCTGCTCTCCTGGGCCTTATGCCCACCATCACCCAAGCCCTTGTTCCTGTGTCCTGCCCCGGCCACCCCCTGATCACACCCAGGGGCCTGTTTTGTGGCCTCTCCTTCCCTGACTTCTCCGTGGCAGGTACTGTCGTGATAAGTCTCTCCCCTAGTGGGTTCTGGCTTTTCACTCTGGGTCCTTCTCCGACCTCTCTGATCCTGATTTTTCTTCCATCCCTTCTCTCTAGCCTACACTTTGGTGCCGAGGCCATGGTTCTCTGCTACTTGCTTCTGGTCCATGTCTGTGGTTTTAGCCTGCACGATGAGGACTCTTGGCCCATATCCCTTCCTGTCCTCATGTTGCCTGTGAGCAGCATAGAACTAGGTTTACATTTGTTACAGCTTTGGGTATATATGGGTATCTCTCTGCCGTCTTATTTTGTGCTTTCGCTTTCTTCTCTTTCTGATTCTTCTCTGTTCACTCTTTTAAATTGATTGAAAGTTTTTTTCCCTTTTCTTCCCTCCATTTTTTTCCTCTGTACTGCTTTGGAACTTATACACTCTATTTCTGTTCTTTTGATGCATGCAGACTACATAAGGTTTAAAGTCACTTGGTGTCGATATATCTTTTTTCAAGCAATGAGAGGACCATGGAATGCTTTATATAAAGTCACCGTCCCTGCTCGTGTTCAGTTGCCATACAGTGGGTTAGCTGCATCTTCTTTCTCTCATTAATTCTACAAATCGGGCATAATTTTTGATGTTCTATATGGTTAACTGTTGTTCTGATTTTCTACATAGTTACTGTTTTGTCCTTGAATCTCAGGCCTCATTTTCTGGGATCAGACCATCATGTGGTGAAGGTCTTTTAATCAAAAACATTTAGTTTCTGTGTGGCTGAAATTTTATTTCGTCTTTATTAAAAGATTGTTTTACTGGGTATAAAACATTAGCTTGACAGTTATTTTCTCTTAGTATTTAAAGATAGTATTCCACTATCTTCTGGCTTTCATTGGTAGCCCAGTTTTTTTTTTGTTTGTTTTTTGGGTTTTTTTTGGCAATTTCCTCCCTGGTTGGTTGTTGGTGGTGGTAGTAGTGTGTCTGTGCATGTGTGTGTATTTTGCAGTTCACTATAGTGTTGTACTTAGGAGTGGATTTTATTTTGTTTGGCTAAAGCTTCCTGGGGCTTTCTGAAACCAAAGATTGGTGACTTGTATCAGTTCTAGAAATTTTTCAGCCATTATCTCTTTGAATATTGTCTCTCCATCCTTTTCTCTCGAGTCTCTCCTTTGAGAAATCCAATTAGATGTATGTTAGATCTTATTCTGTCCTTTATGTCTCTTAATGTCTTCATTTTCAATCTTTTCGTTTGTTTGTTTTTTGTGATATTTTCTGGGTAATTTCTTATTTGTCTTCCAGTTTACTAATTCTTTTTTTAATTAGCTCTAATCTTCTATAAAGCCCATCGATGAGGTATTTTTAGTACCAATATTAACTCACAGATTTTAATATATGTGATGTGTTTTAATTCATTGCTGTTAATATTTTTGGTGCTCTCTGAGTTTTTAATTTGGATGATTATATATTTTTTTATTTCTGGGTTTCTAATTTATCCTTTTTTGAGTATGCATGCTCTTTCATTTTTTTAAATAAGCTCTTATTCCTTACATATGTCTTTAATTCTGCATTTTATTTCCATCGTCACATTCAACATCCTTATTTTGTATTCCATATCGAATGATTGCAATATCTGAAGTATTTGCAGATATAGTTCTGTTGTTGGACGCTTCTGCTGATTCCCACTCATGAAGGCTTGCTTCCTTATGTGTTTCATGATTTCGATTGTGAGCTTATGCTTGTTAGAGTTCTGAGAATTCTTGGAGGTACATTCTTCCAGGGAGGATATGTTGCCTTCTGCCAGATATGAAGGCTCTACAGATGGGTCTATTTGTCTATAACTTATTTTGCAGTTTTGAAGGGCTCCATTCACAGCTAACACGAAGCCAGATTACTTCCTTCCTGACTATATACCACCGGACGCCCCACTTTGGCCTCTTGTTCCCTTATTGCCGATGCCTTCTCTACATATTTGGACAAAGTGCTGGTCATTAAAAACCGTATGTATCTTCTGAGCCTTCCCCATGCCACCCCTTTCAGAATTAGCCTGTCCTTCTCTATTTATTGGCCACTGTTGCCTTACCTTTTAGTGGTGTGTATGTTAAGACCCCACACTGGATAATGAGCTTCTTGAAAGCTCAGAGTTGTGCCATTTATTTCTGGAGCCCCAGTGCCTAGCTCACTATTGGGCAGAGTAGTTACTTAATAGATACCTATTGATTGAACAGAATTCATGCCAAAATCAATAGCTTTTCTTGAATAGTAATAAAAAAAAAATCACAAGCACTAACCTGCCCCATGATCTGGGACAGTCCAGTTCACCTCTTTGGATCTCAGTTGTCCTTAGCTGTAAAATGAAGGGTTGCTTCTGGTATCTCCACTTGTTCTAAGATACTGAGATTCAAAGTAACATGTATGATTGTCAGTTGCGATAAGGTGGAGCAACTCTTGGCTCACAAATGGAATGAAGGAATGGGAGGGCCATGGAGAGAAAGGGCCTGATTTCGAGGTAACTGAGCTCTGGAGAGAGCCTCGGATTTGCAAGAGAGGAAAGAGAAGGCACTCGAAGGTAAATTAGTATGAAATAAAGATGGCATTTAAAAATTCGTGACCTAGGACAATTTGATAGCTGTCTAAAAAAGTGAACACGTTATCACAAAATAAATTTCAAATGGATTAAAGATGGTAAATATTAAAAAAAAAAAAATGAACTCGGGGAAAATACTAAGTGTGACTTAAAACCCAGAAGCCATTAAAGAAGAGATTAATATATTTGACCCTACACAAGTAAAAATCCTGTGGTGAAATAAGCAGTCTCCTAGTTCTCAAAACTACAGAAATATATTTGTAACATATCAGCGATAGAGCTAATTTCTTTAATATCTAAAGAACTACAAATCAATAAGAAAAAAACCATCGACCCCATTTTTAAAATGGGCTAAGAACATGGATGGTTCACAGAAAGAGAAATATAAATGGTTCTTAACCATATAAGAATGTATTCATCTCACTAGTAATAACAGAAATGCAAGTCTACTATGGAGAAGGGACAGTGGAACAGATACACATAATCACTGATAGTGTCATATGGTACAACCTGCGTAGAGAGCATTTTGACAGAACTTATTAAAACTGAAAGTGCATAACCTGGGAATTTCTCTTAGATATGTTGTATACAAGTGAAATGTTCCTTTTTTTCAAGATAGTTCATTGAGTCATTGCTTGTAAAAGCAAAAAAAAAAACAAACAAACAAAAAAACCCCAAAAACTAATGTCCATCAGTAGAGAATTGGTATATAAATTATCCTACAACCATACCACGAAATTCTCTGCAGCTATAAAAAAGAATGCAAAAGGTCCCCCTGTACCCATGTGATTGATGAGATATGTTCTTAAGTGAGAAAATAAGGGACAGAAAGCCTACCTGGGCAATAGCTCTGCTGGCATATTTAGGAGACCAGTAATGGTGGTTTTCCATAGTGGGGGCTGACTTTTCTCTGTATCTTTTTCTATATTTTGAATTTTGTACCTTGTGCGTGTACTATCTATTTAAAAAAAACCTTATTAAAGAAGGTTAGGGAGGAAAAGTAGGTGGGTGAATGGGAGGGAAGAAGGATCTCACCTTCACTCTGCGTTTTCATGTAAGTTACCCCTTTTAGTTACCCCTCTCTGCAACGCCGAGCAGGGTTGCTGTTTCTATAGACTGAGGAACCAAAGCTCTGAAGTCTGAAATGACTTGCCCAAGTTCATGGAGAGCGCCTGGGAGCCTGGCACTGTATCCTGTTCTCACTGTAGAACCATTGGGCTCATCTCTGTAGATCAGTATTTTTTTGTTCTCTTTATTTTGAACTGACATCTCATAGTTCAAGAACCAATGGCTATACCCTGCCCCGCCTCCAAGGAAGCCAGAGTAAAGTTCCATCTCACCTCCTCCACCTGGCTGGCTGGCTCACAAGTGCCTACAGGGCAAAGCTCAGGCAGCCACCTGAGACACAATGAGGAGGATTAGGGATGGGCTTTGCAGTCCTACCTTTGAAGTTCCCAGCTTTTATCACAGTGTCTGAACCTTAACATTATTTCAAGGGAGCTTTTATTACTGTCTGAACCGGCCTAAGGTGGGTACCAGCTGCTGCCAGGTGCTGAGGGAGCACTTCCTGGTGCCTTAAGCTGATATCTTCATTTTGTTTTATGGTGGAGAAGTTTTCAGGGCTCAAGGCACTTGGTACTTGGAAGATTCTGGAAGAATAACTTTTGTTATTTTTCTGTCCAGAGGTGCAATCGGATGGCATCTCTTTAATTAAAGGGAGGGAGAGGTGCTTTCTTTGCTTTTGTTGTTCTTTTTTTTTTTTGTCTCAGAAACACCTGTGCTGTTTTCAAAGTAGGGTATTGACTGCTTCCTCTTTGCTGAAGCAAAATGCTGTATTGAGAGCAAAGCTTAAGGTACGGGCCACATATGATATGAGGATGCAGTTTATAGGATGCAGCTTCACCTGGAGAAAGAATCTGACGTCTTTAAGAGACAGAAAATCACCCGGCACCACCTGTCTTCCTGTGCGGTGTCACATTTACTTTCTAAGTTGGAGTCGTCATCTCTTCAGAAAGAGGCAGGGGCCTTCGGGGCTAAGGAAGGGAAGCTTGTGGGGCTAGGAAGTCTTTGGGATCCATGGGCCTGAGCTGGCACATCCAGCCGTGCTCCCGACATCTTTACAAGGACTGCATCCTAACGAGCCACCCGGTCCATTTTGGTTGGTTTGGCCGATGGAAGTGGAAGTGCTTGAACGTCACAGAGCTGGCCCGGGGTGAAGTTTGCACCCAGCTCTTTGCCGAATGCACAGATGGATAGGAAGTGCCCAATGATGGTTTCCCACGTGGACAAATTTTGATATTCGAGATGGACTTTAAAGCTTTTGATCATAAAGAGGACTGGAGGAATTCAGATGTCTCCCTTTGCTCCTCCATTTTCCTGACTTGAATAATTAAGTCCATGCCCAGTGGAATTTTTCCGTTCTTGGGCTCTAGATCCTCTCTTAGGCGCAGGCCGGCTTCTGTAAATGGTACACCCAGGTACCTTAATGCCCCCCGCAGGTCCACTCCGGCACCTGCTTGAGGTCTAGCTTATCCGGAAAAACTTTCAGGTCACATCAGCTGAGTTCTTTTGCTTCAATTGCAGAACTTGTCAGAATTTCTCTTCCAGACCCCTAATTTGGGGTCTTTATGCCTTAGTTGTAAAAATGCATTCCCTGTCGCCAGGTACATTAACAGGCTCAGCTCAGGAACCTGCCTCTTTTTTTTCCCCCTTTGAGTTCATTGTCGGAAGGGCTGGGCATTGTCTCTTCCTAGATCAAGGACAGAAGTCCCATTTGTTTTGCCTTTTCACACCTTGGCCCCTCTGCTAGCTCTCATCTCCCTCCCCCGGTGGCGGTGGCGGTGACTGGAAGGGCCTGGACAAAAGTTTGGGTCCTGGGTGGCCTGGGGAGCTTGGCCTCCCGCCCGGGCTTCACCCTCCCTGCACTCACTGAGGCCTTAGGGAGAATCTCACTTCCTTGTCACTGGAAACCACCTCTTAGTCCCTGAAATATTCTCAGGTGGTTTTAAGATGTCTCTGTCCAGTTTTGTTTTGTTTTGTTTTGTTTCGGATCCAGTTTAGATTTGAATGTCCAAGGAATGAGCACTCTCTTGGGTCTCGGATCTCTTCCTTTTGTTTTTTAGAAAATAGCTTTCATTGATTTTTTTTTTTTCTTGTTACAAAGAGATTTATGATCGTTGCAGAAACTTTAGGAAATAAGCAGAAAGAAGAAAATAAAAACCACCTATTATTAATATTTTAGTATATTATAGATACTTCCTGCATATATTTTTATTTTTGAAAAATGAATCATACTGAATATACCATGTTTGTTTGTTTACTTCTGTTTTTGTGTGTTTTTACTTAACAATATGTTCTTAAAATTTTCATTGGGTTAACCATTCTCCTCCAAGTCACTTTAAAGGGTTGCATGGTATTCTTTTGAACAGATGGAACATAATATATTTAAGCAGTCTCCCACATTTAGGTTGTTTTGTCTTTCTGTCTCATACAGAGTTCTGTGGTAGACACCCTTGGGCATTTTTGCCCACAGCCTTGATACATTTCTAGAAGTCAATCCCTAGGCCAAGGACGCGTTCTAAAGGCTCTAGATTTAAAGGGTTAAATTGCCCTCCAGAAACGTTGTATGGTATTTTGGATTCCTTTTGGGTGCATACCAAGTCTTATTCTTTTAAAACCTGGTGTGTATTATTAAGACATCGCTTTCCAAATGTTTCACGCATATGTTGGCTTAAGAGTGGCTGGTGGGGGAAAGGCCTGAAGGAAGGAGAAGCTCCCCTGTTCACCCTCCATTGGCAGGGGGGCTTGAGGGCTCAGGCCAGAGGCCTTTCTGGCCTCCTGACTGCTGGCAGCTGGGCAGGGAACCTCAAGGTGCCATCCTTGGGGTGCCTGGGGCAGAGCCTGCTTCGAAGATTCCAGAGGATACTCATAAAACGAGCATGCTCCCCTAACTCCAGAGACCAGAACCGGTTGTCTCTGGCTGAATTGGTGTTTGTTTATAGGGGGCGGGTGGGGTGAGGGTGACGGAGAATTTCCTGTGCAGACCTCAGATTGTCCCCCAGGTCCTGCCCAGCCCTTGCAGCCCCAATTCCTCAATCACTGTCTTGGGGAGGTGAAGGGACAGGAAGGAGGTTTGATGGAATTACCGAGGAAGTAACATTCGCTTCGGCTAAATTGAACCTTCCTGTCCCGTGCCCTTCTTCGCTCCTGCTCCTTTGCTCTCCGAAAAGCTTTCCTACTTCTTAGCTTCCTTCTTCTTTACTCCCAGTGACACCTAGGCTGGTGCCCACCTTTCAGACCCGGCATGTCTGAGTGCATCGCTGTTTATTTGTTGTATCTGCTCAGCTCTGGCTCCCAGCACCCCCGTCACCATCCTGTCCAGGTGGTCCAGTCCCAGCTGAGGCCCAGTCCCAG